ACCCAAGCCATCTTTCAGCTTGTTTTCTCACCCTAAGCTCAGGAATATACCAGGGAGCCAATGCTGGCATTAACTTAGTCAAAAGTTGTCGAGGGCTTCAAATGTTATCTAAATGACCACCTCATCCCACTTATATTCCATTGTCTAGTCATCCAGACAGGAGCAATATCCTGAGCAATTTCAGTCATGATACCTTTACAGTCTGTACCAAAGAGCCAGGAGGCAGAGGAAGAAACAACATTTCACACTCAACTCTGGAAAGATGCTTGAAAGAACAGGGAAGGAAGAAATATGGCTGTAGAATTGCATTTTGTTTATCATTGGTTAATCCACATTGAAAATAGTGGTGGTGATTCTGTTCTTCGTGGATAAAATTATGTGGAAATCATTTTGAAGATTATGGTGCTACGGCATTGGCATATTCAGATTTCCTGGGGATTTTATTTTACTAATGTTCACATTTAATTTACTCAATAAAGTGATTTATCGCAGATTCAGTAAGCACTATTCTAACAAAGCATTTATACCTGTAAACATGCACAAGGATAAAATGTATTAATGGAGGCATATTAGCAGTACAAGACTCTATAGGGATTTATCAAGTTTAGTTTAGCCTTCTCAGATTACCAGGAACCTGCTATGAGGGACTGAAAATCCTCTGTGTTGTTCTGAAGTATTATGTTGTTCCCTAAGAAAACTGTGTTATTGAAGGGTTTGAAACACAGCAGAAGTCTTTTGACGCAAACAGCTATGAGACTTATTAAGAAGTGTAAGCACAAAGATAGGCTATTGCATTAGAGACTTAGAGCTTCACTTGATACAAACATGTTTTTTCTCAATTAACTGTGTAGTGAGTGAGCTGATTTCTTTCAGTGCTGGCAGAAGGTGGTTTCTGTGTGGACAAAATAGCTAACCCGAATGAAAACATTACAAAGATTATATAAAGGTATTTTTTTTTAGCCAGAACCACTGTTTTGTAGGATCATATATTTCACATTCAGTTATTACGAAAGTTTAAAATGCATGGTCAGTACAATGCCATGGCTTCATGAAGTTATCATGCTGCATAATTCCAAAGCACTGTAACCCATTCAATAAAACAACAACCCCATATCGCATTGAATTTACAGTATCTTATAGCAGTCACACCCTCAAAGGTGTCTTATTTTACAGAATCACAAGGAATTGCATCACACTTAGATAAAAGTACAGCAAAAAAGATTTCTACGCACAGGGAACTCTTATTTCCCTAACCCCAGATTCACATCTGCTCTATTTCATGATGTGTTGTATCCAATACTGTTATTTTGTTTGTGGGTGGCTCTTGGATCCAATGGAATGATTCCATTCCTTCGTGAATGGAAGGAGGAGGGAAGCTATTTTTTGCAAGTTTGCCCTTTCTCCTGCACAACTATTTCCCCACTCCCTGGAGCAGATTTGGAGGGGCACAGATATGGAGGGAAAGCAGGATCCGATAAAACAACCCCCTCCTCTTCAGTTCGTATAACCATCTACTTGCTATATCAAAAAGCCTTCTGTCAGGAAATACACCATTAGATATAACACTATATGTGTGCCAGGCGCTTACCACACACATTAAATGACACCTGACACTTGAGATGTACTGTTATCTTGAAAGATATGCCAGAGATAAGTTCATCATGATTTGATGAAAAGACCGACAATTCATTGCTCTTTCCTTCTTTGTACATAGCAGTTGCTCTCAACAGCTCTTGTGCTGGGAATACTAATTCCCTCCATACAGTATTGCATTTTAATGTTAATTCAATATCATTTCTACTTAGTGATATCTCTGAGGCTAATAAAGATTTCGTTGTTTCAACTTGAATTTTGTCAAGTACTAAGCAATTTCATTTTCCCCAGAAAAGAATAATTTGATCGGAATTAGCTGTCGGTGTGGGGAGGGTGAGAGTTATTCTGTAATATCATTTAGGTTTCAGTATATGGAAACTTTCTCTTCTACTCTTCATTATTCTGACCTAAGACAAGTTGCCTTAGCACCTCTGGCAAAAGTTCTAAGCAAACTAAGCTTGCTGTGAACTGCTCTTGTGAACAGTTGGTGTTAATGATGCAATTGCCAGTCAGTACTCTATGCATTTACCGTAATTTCCTTCTGGCTTCACTATCTACATGCAGCAGCAGCAGCAACAACTCTCGTGCCATTATACAGTTTGTTACTCTTCAAGGTGTCAGAATGCATTCTTGCTTGTTCGAAAAAAGAAAAGATCTGATCACCTTCATCCATCTGTCAATCCGCCTCCTCCAAGTGGAAGGAGAATGGGCAATGCTGAATATCGTAGCAGTTGCCACCTGTTGTGTTCTATTGGGGAAGAAGAAAGGCCCACCTTTATATCCACTCAGCTGCCACATACTTTTGTGATTTCACAGGTTGTCTGTAGCCAACGACAACAACTAGGGATGCATCATCATAATCACTGCAGACTTGACAAATGTGATTTGTGTGCTATTAAAGATCTTTCTAGACCAACCTTCATCTGAACTGATAACCAGGGAGGGGCATACCATAAAACTGTTGGGGAGACCTTTTTCAACTCAAGGGCCATATTCCTCTGTAGGGAGACCTCCCCCCTCTTAGGGGCTGCATGTCAGTGGTGGGTGGGGTCAGAGGCAGAGGGAAGTGGAGCAGCCGATTTGACTCTTATCAGCACAGTAGGCTCCATTCCACCTATGCAAAAGCCAGAAGTTTCAGTGCTTCAAGTACGAAGTATCTGGCTATCACTCAACGTATTAAAAACACTAGTACACACCAAAGCATTAGAAAAACTAAACAGAGGAGAAGACTAAAGTACTAGTTCCACATTAGAAAAACCTAAAAAGCCTGAGGGCACTTTCAGAGTCCAGATACAGTCTTCTTAAAGGCATCTCAGGTGTGCGTGGCCTTGCTATCCTGACTTCCTATAGTATGTCTGAAGCATCAAAAAGATGACTATCTTTAGAAAATGGCATTCTTCTATTTTAGCTTAGCCAGTTGTAATTTATCTACAAAACCACCCTGAGCTTGGGTGTAATGTTATGAAAAGTTATATAGCTGGCTGTCATGACTACTCTGGCTTTGGTTGCTGTCAAAATGATCATGTTGCGTAAGTGGAAGATGGCTGCCTTGTGCTGTTTCATTGACTGTTGTAGCTTTAACTCTACCTGTTGCCATGCCAACTGATCCATGCATTGTCTTTTTATGTGGGTCAGCAAGCAGGATCACCATCATTTAATAGTTTTGTTGTTTGTGATATATTTACAATATAGAATTTCATCTCAAATTAAGGTTTCTTATTCAGTTAACTGTCATTTGTATTCTTTATTCTGTATAGTGGTCCACAAAGAGACCCATAATGTGTAGCATTGGAACAGCATGGACCAGTTAAGCAGTCTATTGAAAGAGGAGCTGGTACTCTCATTTGCTCTGTTCACCAATGAGCAGTTACACATAATAATTAAAATCCTAATGGCCAATATTGTGTGCCCTTCTGGTTGTGCCCTCATGGTTGTGGTATATCACACAGTAAATCTGAACCACCTATTCTGTTTCATATCTCTATATCCCTTGTCAGACCAGTAGAAGCTTTTCTTTAGCAACACTCCATCTGTGACTGCATCTTACAATATGGCTTGGTGGCTCTGCTGTTAACTCTGAGGCAGAAGCTACTCTTTAAATATTAACTGTGGTTTATCTTCTGTAGCCCACTGTTTGCCTTGTGAACCACTGTGCATAGGACTTTGATTTATATTCCTTATGAGGGTGCAATACTCTGGGTGCCTCAACCAAAATCATTTACAAGGTCTCCAGGGGCATCCATGGGGAAAAGGGGCAGCTTTGCATACAAATCCATAAACTTAACTGTTCTCTTCTTTGTAGTATAATAGGATACATGACTATGGCCCAGTATTTCTTCTCAATGTAGTTGCCACTTTCTCATGGCTAAATCCATGTTGATCAAATAACCTTTGAATAATGGAATTGTGGGATTCTTTATATGGACATTTTGTGATCCACCCATCCCATGTGGTTCCATTACTCAAATTTTACCAGAGCTATGTGGAATTTAGCCATGGAGGAGTAACTGCATAACATTGGAATCAGGCATAAATTTATTTGCACCAGTTGCACAAACAATGTAAGGAATGTATTCAAAAGCTAATTTCTTTTTCCTTTTCTCCACATCCTGTTCACTTCTCCTTCCTGCCTCAGTACTCTGTCATGTGTTAACTATAATTTGTTAATTGGTTTAGTGTTCCACAAATATATTATAGAGGTTTTTTTTAAATAAAAAAGCCCAAGCATAATTTTGTTTAGAAGGTCAAAAATATAATGTTCACACACAGTGTTCCACAGCATGAACCACAGTTTTGTAGTGTTCATTGAAAAATACTCTGTGAGGTTTCCAGTGGGGGGCTCTTTTCTTTCCCCCTCCCCAAACAGTCCCATCCTATGCAATACTGCAACCAATTTCTGAAAGTCTCCCACATTTTCAAAGTAGATGTCAAAAAACCTGTATGGCGTTAATCTCACAGCTCTCTGGATTGTGGTCCATGAACACATTATTCCATTGAACATTTCTGCTAGTGAATTACTACATAGAAGATTAAATATCACACTTGTAGCTGACTCTTAAATCATCAAAATGAAACATGGAATTCCTTTGCTCTTCACCACATCCTCTAAAGGTTACTAAGAGCACCCAAATGCAGATATCGCTTTGGGTTTAGTGCTGCTCCAAAATGGTATGTATTATTCTTTAAATGTCCATGCCAGATAATCATTAAAATTTTGTTGTCAATTTGCCTTGAGGCTTTCAGTTTTCTCCCTTGTAGCAGTAACGTTTTGCTGGCTGGCTTGCAGCAGATTGGACTTGGGCTATTTTGCCATAAGGAATTCTGTTTTTCTTCGTTTATTGTTTCACAAGTGCATAAAAAGAGAAAAAGTCTGTATATGTCATCAGTGGTTGTTGTTTTTTTCCCAGCATTCTGTGAAGAAGGGTGCAGATATGGTGGGACATGTGTAGCCCCTAATAAGTGTGCCTGCCCTTCTGGATTCACGGGAAATCATTGTGAAAAAGGTAACATTCCAAATTCTTATCAGTGACTTATCCTGGCTTATAAAATGCTGCTTTTCTTTTCTAATCAATATACAGATTTATTTGTTGATATTTATTTTTATTGGTTATTCTATAACTGAGTGCTTCTAGCAGGACATGGTTTATGTAGCATACTTTGAAAACTTCCCCATGTCTAATAGCAAAATATTCTGCCGGGTTGGATTTCAAATATATATATATGTATATATTGTAGTTGCATGAATGTGGGCAAATATTATAGATGGCCAGAAGCTTCTTATTTCCAATTCTGGCTGACAGAAATTCAATCGGCGGGGGTGGTGTGGTGAGGAATGATCAGCTGATAGATGCACAAATGTTTTCATGTGCTGATGAGAGGAAAAATGCAGGGACTTGGATGTGCAAACTCTTGTGCGTGCTTGTCAGAGAGTAAGCTTGGATAATTGTGCACAATGTAGAGAATTGTTTTCAAAGGCTGCAAGCAACAATAGTGAAACTGCTTTTGAGATTCTCTACAGTAGAAGGGCTTGTCCAGATGCTGGAGAGCAAGGGAGGAAACACATAGTCATCATCCTCATCAGGTTTATTTGTCTGTTGTTTTTCCATAAATGTATTGCAGTTCGCAGTAGCAGAATAGCAATAAGCCATTAAATTATACCAGGAATAACAGACTACTACAAAATACAACCTACCAAAGCATTTCAATACTATGAACAAAATATTTCATAAGTAATAACGACCCATTAAATAGATGCAGTATAAGCTATCAGTAATCACAAGGTCCTTAAACCAAATAATAAACATGCAACTGAGCACCAGTCCAGTGCCTCATAGCAGTGTCTGGTTGATAGATTTATTTATTAAAATGCTTAATACCTTAATAAACCTACTCCCACAGGCAGCTTTCCAAAACAGATGAACACCCACAGTAAACGCCCATAGGTCACACATAAAAATTAACATTTTAAAAAACAAGAAGGCCTCCTCCCTCATTAGTCAAGCAAGATGCTGAAAATATATATGACATGGAATTGTTCTCATTAGAATTAGTATAACAACAACTACTACTACTAAATTATTTATTAAATATATATACCGCCCTATACCTGCAGGTCTCAGGACGGTTCACAGGAGAAAATTATGATATAAAAACACAGAATGCATAAACCAAATGCCTGTAGTTAAAACATAAAACAATGGTTTTAGTTAAAAGCACAAAATAATGAACATATTCAAAAGAAAAGAAAACCACAAGCCAAGCCAAACACGCCCTCTCACTTCAACCTTATCATGAGGCCATTCGAAAGAAAGTAATAGACTCTTATTCTAAGAGGAGTCCCTCCCTGGAGATGATGTGTTGCCAGTGGTGGGTCTCCAAGGGGCTACTGAAGTCTTTCAGGGTGGTGCTTCCCAGCAGACAGCTGACAGAATGGGGCTCTGCTTCTCTCTCTCCTGCTGCCTCCCTTTCCCCACCTCCCCGCCCCCAGCAGAAAAAGGAAATCTACAAGAGGGAAGGCTTCAGAGGCCAACTGCCTCCCCTCAATCCCAGATGACCTATCTACAGAGGGAACCGCTGCTGCTTACTTGAGAGCTTTGATTATTCCTCTTTCAGCATTTATTTGTTTTTACATACCTGCACAGAAGTTGCTTAGAGATACTTTGCACATACTACATGGATATCTTCAAAGATAGGGTAGAAATGAAGAAAACTCTGTGGAAATAATAGCAACAATTGCAATATCTCTGGGTGGGAAACAGATCTCCACCCCCTGAAATAGATAGTTATCTTTAAGGAGTACCTGGGCTACAGAAAAGTGATAATCTCCTTATATGAACTATGCAATTAAATTATTGAAAGAGAGAAAATTGGGACTGTTTTAGTTATTTATTCCACATCCTTTGTCTGATGCTACTGGATTATGCTATAATAGGACCGGTTTGCATTTAATATATGCTAGGAAAATGTGCTATATCATTTGAAAGACTGCTAGTTGATCAACATAGTTTACTTGTAGATTTAATTGTGGGAATGCATACCTTTAGCATGTGCCCAACTTATATTTCTTTACCATATTTATATAGCCACCTATCAATACATGTTCTCTGGACAGCTTAAAGAACAGGGAGTAAGATGCAATATTAGCATATAATATAATTAAAATGCAAAACTAAAACCATGAAAATACAAGCTAAACCCTTTGTTTTCTAACTGCAGAAAAAAAATAAAACAAATTAGATATCTCAAATAAAATATATTTAAAAAGCCTGAAGAAATAATAAAAAGGTCACTTTACCGAAAAGACCACAGAAAAGAAACCAGGTGGGCCTGACTGATAATCAGGCTCAAATGCATACTAATTTTTTCATTACAACACTTCTGGTGAGCAATTCCAAGGGGCGAACTGGAGCTTTGGCTTACAGTCCTTTTTCTTTCTTTTCTTTTCTTTTATGTTCCTTTCTTTCTGTTGTTCAGATGGCTATATTGGCTTATGTGATTAAAGAAGATGGCTTAAATTGGGCACATTTTATATCCACTATGAACTCTTTTTACAGTGCATCTCAGGTGAAATCTGTCGGCTTAATATGAACTAAAAATGGATGAAACTTTACACTTTAACCCATAGTGGCATACTCTTCATGCTGTAGAATTATCCAAAGAGAATAAAATGATGTTAACTGTATTCTCATCCATGGCTGGAATGCATCCAGGCATCTATTATCCTACAGAAATGCATAGTGAATGGACAAATACCTATAGTGAAACAATTTGTTTTCACTGACCTCTTGTTCATTATGCTGCATTCAGATATGTCCTTTGCGGTGGCGCAGGACAATTTTTTATACATTATCTGCAAGAACAGAACATTTTCTATTGGCTCAACTTGTAATAGTCTAAATCTGTTTTAGCATCTAGAAATGTGTAAGATAAGCTTGTGACAGTTAAAAATCATTACCAAAATGCAAGTAGTTTTATTTTCTAGTAATAATGATCAGTAATTCATTAGCCACCCCCCACAGAAGTGGTGATATTTGGCTCAATGCAGATTTAGTGATTGTCGAATGCTCAGGATTTATGTTGATGGCATGTGCAGAAAACAAAGTGAAGATGATATTGGAGCTTTAAGTCAATTGTGCAAATGCATAATGTAGCATATTGCTAAGAAGACTTTACTACCAATGGTGGCCTTTGCAATTTAGATCCGATTTAATTAAACATTACAGTGCAGCTGTGGACTTGCCTTTGTATACAGCAGCTGAGGCAAGATTGCTGAGGGCTGGCCCACCCATGAAACAAGGTAAGGTGACTGCTTCAGGCAGCAGGATCCACAGGGACAGCAGATCCAGTCTTCAATGATTGCCTTGCTCACTGCCACTGCCATGGTTGAAGTGATGGCTGTGGCGTGCTCCGTGGAGGCTGGCTCTGACCCCTCTTTGGAAGCTATCCCCACCATGCCTCCACAGTGGCCTCTTAATGAGTAAGAGTAACTGTTGGTCTCCTCCCATCTTGTTCTCGATGTATATCTTCCTTGTTCCTGGGGCAGATCTCCACGCACTCTTTCTTCTCAAGCCAGGGAGGGATCCCATTTGTGGTTCACCCCAGGTGCCAAAATGTCTTGGGCTGGCCCTGATTGCAAATTTTACCTAGCTGCTTTTTAACTGAGACATCTAGTTCCTTATGATGCTCTGTAGTGTTTCACTATGAACAATGTTAGGACCGAAAAACATGTTTTTGAGGGGTTGAAGAGGTTCTGGGCCAGGGCATGGGGGACACGTCCTACCTTTTTTTGTTCCCTCCCCCCACCCCCTATTTGCAACCAAAATTTTTCTCTTTTCTTTATCACATTACCCCGGAGCCAATCAGGGACCACAAAAGTCTTAATGTAATGACAATTTATATCTAATTATCTTTAGCTGCATGATGACATCAGTGAAGGCAAAGCCAGTCATTTTCTCTCACTGTTTATGGATGGGAGCAACTGGACTGCCACTTCTAATTGTGCCCCAGTTTTGCTGTGACAGTTTCATTTCAGCAAATCAAGCAGCACTGGGAAACAAACATTTAATGCTTAAAAGGGGAGGACACTGTTTGAGGGATTTAAAACTGTGGTGAAAAAAACAGCCTTTTCTTTCTTTTTGTTTGTTGGTTTGGTTTAGCTCTAAAAATGCTAGTAGTTCTGGCATTGGCTTTTTAAAAAACTACTTCTGCCTTGGTGTTTTGTGAAACACAGCATTTGAAAGCATGTTAGTATCTGTAGGCTCACAGACAGTCAACATTTTGCTTAACAGTATACTTCTGTCTATCATAATGATAATGATGTCTGTAACAGTGAGATATGTAGAGTTCTGTGACAGTTAACTAATTTTGAAGTTTTCTATGTCCATATAGGATAATTAGGCATTAAAGTTCTTCAGCTTCATAAGGTTGTGAGATGCACAAAAAGGAATAACAAATCTTTCATATAAAATCTGGACATACTCATATATCTAAGCTCCATAAATATATATATCCTTATCTTGACAAGTACAAATTAGGCACTATCAAAGTCTGTTGAAATCATGAGACAATTGTATTCAATAAACCATTTGTCTCATAAACTAGGAAACATCAAATATTAATTTGCTATTTTCTGATGCAGTAAGAGTAAAAGAAGTTGAATTTATCTAGACTGATTCTTCTTCTAGCCACTTCATTTTTTGATATCACTTAAATGTAACAAACTTCCTTACCACAAGGAAGTGAGCATCAAAGAGATTTTTGAGATTTTTTTTATATTGATACAAAATCTCTCCAGACCTTGATCTTTGCCTGAACAGAGAGCTCACTTAAGCACAGCAATCATTTCTTCTTTGGAAATGGACTATCTAATTTAGTAACCTGTGCAGTCAAATATCATGAGTTCTTTACTATTTAAGAAGTGCAACATCTTAAATAGTCTTCAATAGTGAATTATTTTTTTCTTTCAGCATGAAATATGTATTAAATATATCTTGTAGGGGCTTTC